TTTTTATACTACTACTTTCAGATCGTTGGGAGTCAGTAATTTCTTTCCTATCAGACCTGAGTGTTTGGACCAATACAGTTTTGACAGCAGAGATGGGGATACCCAGATCTAATTCAACTTCATCTTTGCTGCACGCTAATTTGACTGCAATATCTATCTCATTATGAGGGGTTATATTTATGTGTGAAGGTATCCATACAAAGGAGATTCGAGACCCTTTACTCTGTGCAGTAATTAGGTCATTTATAATTAGTAGTATGAGGTTCTTCCTGTCGATCTTCCAGGAGAAGTTTTCGATTGCTTGAAGAGCAGACTTTGAATCACAAAATATTATTCCTCCTCCAATGTTTTTTAATGTACTGGTAGCTAGTTGTAATGCTGCTAGTTCTGCCTGTGTAGAGGTCAGCCAGTTGTTTAACCTGACACTGACAGTCTTTGTGCAAATATTATTTCTATAAAACCTACATGCTGCTGCAGTCCGTCCAGTAGAAGATTGGACTGAGCCGTCGGTGTAGACATAGTGCTCGTGAGATCTTAAATTCTCGATGGAGGAGGCAATTGTTTCGAGTGTGACAGCTTTGAGAAGAGCAAGATTATCATTATCTTTCTTGGTGACAGGTGTGTATGATACTTGAATGGTGGGGTACAGATAAAGAGGAATATCAGAGACAGGTAGATCGCACTTAAAAGGAATATGTTGAGTTTAATGAGATCGTAGGCCATATACCTTTTATTCAAACGATAAAGTCTATGGACTCGGCGCTGAACATTTCACATCAACAAAGTTCGTGACAGATGGGATTTGGGGGACGTGTCCCCCTTCAAAGGGGGCACTGTGACATTTTCAATAAAAATCCCCATTAAACCTGTAAAATTGAATGAGACTAGCGCCAGACGTCTGGCCTCCAGCCTCAAACAAACATTCAATTGTATAGATATAATAAATACATATTGGACTATCTCACATATGTTTAATATATATATATGTCGTACCTATAGCCAGAACGCACTTCTCAGCCTACTATGCAAGGCCCGATTTGCCTAATAGTTCTCATGAATAATGCTTTTTCGACTACCTAACCTACCTAACCTAACCTAACCTAACTTTTCCGGCTACCTAACCTAACCTAACCTATAAAGATAGGTTAGGTTAGGTTAGGTAGGGTTGGTTAGGTTCGGTCATATATCTACGTATATAATTTTAACTCCAATAAAAAACAATTGACCTCATACATAATCTAATGAGTACCCTTTATCATTTCATAAGTAAAAAATTAGAAAAAAATGTATTTAATTCAGGAAAACTTAAGGCTGTTTAGGCAAATCGGGCCTGACATAGTATTCCAAAAAGTGATTTCTGGCTATAGGTACGACATATATATACATATATATATATATATATATATATATATATATATATATATATATATATATATATATATATATATATATATAATATGTGTGTGTGTGTGTGTGTGTGTGTGTGTGTGTGTGTGTGTGTGTGTGTGTGTGTGTGTGTGTGTGTGTGTGTGTGTGTGTGTGTGTGTGTGTGTGTGTGTGAAGTAACCTATTTCCACTGTTATATAGTTGATATATGCTGGAAAAATGACGGACCCCAAGTACCACATCCCGTCGTCCTATCTAATAGGTCGCGTTTGGTCCGTTATGGTAACCAACGTTTCATATGCAACCTACTATGATTAATAATGGCTGATAAATATCTACGTCGTATATGCATCAGGGAGTGATAGGTTGGCTGGGTTTCTTCTGTTCGTACGTCTCTGGTTAGGGTAGGAGTTTTTTTGTGGCAAATCAAGAGACGGAGTAAATAGCAGCGTCTCTGGCTCTCCGCTCATTACCTTTCTCCACTCTAATATCACCCGTCTTACTGCAGCCTTATGCTCCCTCCTCAGATGTTCTCCTTCACCTACTCCCGCACTCGTTCAGAAACCACCGGCCTGATTTACCAGCTTGTCGGGGATATAAACATTGAGAAGTGTACCTTGCGTCTCAGTCAATATCCACTCGAGGTTACGTTGGTCCTGGTCTGTGTCCAGAACTAAAATATGTTTTGCTGGTTGATCAGTAAGCAGCTGTGGTTGTCTTAACAACTCTCCAGATCCCAACTCCAAAATTAGCTTCTGAAGGAGTTTCTTCCATGGAACAGCATCAAGTGCCTTCTAAATTCAGGAGTTAACACAGTGCTTCCTCTGCCTTCTTTGGTAATTACGGTGATATCTTGTTTGTCTCTTTAATGTTCGTCACATCTAGTTCCGCTAATTGATTCCTTGCTTCTGCTGGTAACACTAATATTTGATGTGTAAGTATCGTTTCTGTCAGGGACTCGTATATCGTTTACGTAACTTGTTAATGTGCCCGTGTACCCCACAGCCAGGTGTCCACAGTCAGGGTGCCACAGCCCAAGTGTCTTCAGCTAGGTATACTCACCCGGGTGTCCATGGCCAGGTGTCCAGGGCCAGGTGTTCAGGGCAGGACACAGCCTCTCAGGCATGTGACCTCCGCTGCCTGTCTGCCTTCCAACTTTCATCAATTTTCTTTTGCCACTCAGCGAACCGCACATGTTACCTATATACACGTCTTATCACGGAGGCTGATATTCGCAATCCCACACATTTAAACTCGTAGAACTGCAAGATGATTTCATCCCAATAAGAATATTTTAATCCGAAGATTGGAGTCCATAGTCATAGTGAAGTCAGGGGGAAGCATCACAAAAACACAATCAAATATTTTTAAGGCCATACGTATATACAACAGATGTGAGTGACCAAGAATATTATTTTCAATGATACATTTTCTTCCCAAAATTTTCTTCTTTAAGTTACAAAGGACGCATAGCTAGCTTTTCCATACGTCAAGCAAGACAACACCGAGATAGATTCTCATCCCAATGAGCTCAATTTATGTCTTTGTATATTTAATGGAGCACTAGGTAGAGTGGTGGCGGTGTAGAGGCGCGCAGGCAACATATACAGTTAGTCAAGGGTACCAGCACTGCCGAAGCTGGCCCCAGAACTCCTCCTCCTGTGAGGCTCCTCACGCCGCACCTTATAAGGCTTCCCCCGAGCCTCCAACAAGAGGCTCGAGCAGAATCTACTGCACTTGCAATTTGCGGATGATTGCCTTCTATTAAAGTTCCTAAATAGGCTGGTAAACACAGAGGGATGGTTTTTATATTATAGTGGAGCGTTCTTCACCCCCTCACGACCCGCCCCGCTCCCAGGTCCCATCTGCAGGGGTAGAACTCTCCCCACCAACACAACCACCCTCGACAGTGTCATTTTGTTGCTTTTTCGACAGAATTATTGTCTATTCTTGTTGAGTGAGAGGAACCACTCTTGATAGGGTGCTCACTGAAGAAAAAGATGACTGCATGGCGACCTACACGAAAAGCTGGAGTAAATCGCCGTTAGTCTCAAGAATGTAGGTAATTTTACTGTGGATATAACCTGCAGCCATCGCAGGTGAAGCAGTGGGAGTATGTGGCCGGCCTTAGGAGAGGCAGCAGAGAAGGATAAAATGTTGGAGATCCCAGACATGGCTGGACTGGGCAGTCAGTCTGCAAAAACACATGAACATTCTATAAATCTTCTTCTTTCTCGCTGTGTCTCTATGTTTCTCTATGTATGGATGTATATCTATCTACCTGTTCCTCTGACTCTCTCTCTCTCTCTCTCTCTCTCTCTCTCTCTCTCTCTCTCTCTCTCTCTCTCTCTCTCTCTCTCTCTCTCTCTCTCTCTCTCTCTCTCTCTCTCTCTCTCTCTCTCTCTCTCTCTCTCTCTCCTTCCCTAGTTTATTTGCAATTTCCTTAAGTTTCATTGTATTTTTTATTACCATTTCAGATAAAACGAAATTCCTCTTCCATCTTGTCACCTCACAGCAGCGCATGTGAGACTTACGAGATGCTCACCACAACAGACAAAGTTTCTCCAGGACCTTCTCTAGCACCATGTCTTGGGATCCCTGTCATCTGAGGTTAGACATGGGTATGCAACAAGAATGTTTACTTAGATACTATTTCCTTGGGGATGGGAATCGTATATTTGCCGAAAGGTATATAACTTTGCATGTAACATAGAACGTTGAACCTTTGTTTAGATCGTGTAAATTATGTAATTTGACTTACGTAAAATAACCAAAGATAATTAACATTAGACACTAACCTCATTACTCGTTTGTGGTATATATATATATATATATATATATATATATATATATATATATATATATATATATATATATATATATATATATATATATATATAATATATGTATTAGGCTTTCCTCACTAGATAGGCTGACTTTCATGGTGTCAGACTGTGTTCTTCTGGGCCATATTGTGCCACAGGGTGTCAGACTGTGCTCCAAGGTATTACATTGCTCACAAGGGTGTCAGATCTTTGTCCCCCGTGTCTGGCTGGGACCTCTGATGCCTTTGGTGCCAGGCTGCGCACTCCGGTGTCAGGTTCATCCCCCCCCCCCTCCCCACGTCTGACACATGGGGGAAGAGCCCCAGTGCAGGCTGTGCTCTCTGAAGGCAGACTCTGCCCTTCTGTTCCCGGATGTGTACCTCGATGCTAGACTCCTCTGGTGCTGCGCTGTGACTCCTGTGCCTGATTATGTCCTCCAGTACCAACGTGTCAAGTATCAGTCTGTGCTACTCCGTGCCAGAAAGTGTGCTGTGGCGCCAGGCTCTACTATCTGTGCCATTCTGTACCTTACGGTGTCAAGTTGTGCCCCATGATGTGCTTCTTAGCTCCTTGTTGTACACAGATTTTTAATAAAACTCTGCACCGCTTAGTGTACAGAATTTCAATAGAGGGTACCAAGCTGTACCCACTAGTGCGTAATAGTAGTAGTGCCTAGGTACTGTATTCCCAGGTAAAAAAGCTGTGTCACTAGTGTCACTATATTAAATACATTAGATATATTAAATAGGGAACCCAGCTGTGTTTCCCTGTATTATACTCAACCCATTGTCAGGTTCTCTTTCTGTGCCAAGCCATGTTGATCATTTCAGTGCCATACTGTGGGATTATAGCCAGGGGTGTTGCCCCCTGATACCGAGAGATAATCACCCGGCTAACATCACAGGTACTGATTAACAAGTAATATTCCTCAACGATATAAAAGGACTTTATGTTCACGAGAGCGTGGTAGTCGTTAACAGGTGATGCTGGGTTTAATGTGAGAATGCGTGAAGTATATTGCTTACACTTCACTGTTGCTCCACCTTAAATATCATCTTTACTGGCAGTAAAACTAAATAGGGAAGCGAATATTGTAAGTAAAATAGGTTAATAGGCGTCGTACATGCTCAATACACGGGTTGGAAGTATGACTTTTAACCTGCAAAAAACATTTTAGACATTTTTTTTTTCTTTTGCATTTCTGAGACAAATTAGATTCTAATAATGTAAATCTATATATAAAGAATGCAAAGAAAATAAAGACAATTGGGTAACGAAACAAAGCGCAATTTTCCGTGTGTCATCAAGACGCATTAAATGGAGTTTAAAGTGAATTGAGGTCGTGATGACCTTCCTTGCCCGTGTGGATCTTCGTGGTTCATGGTTCCGGTTCTTGTAAACTGGTCGTTGGTGCGTCTGGTAGCGTGAGAGACTGTGATCTTCATACATACTGGTTCGAACACATATATATACATATATATATATATATATATATATATATATATATATATATATATATATATATATATATATATATATATATATATATATATCTTGCATAATAAAGTGTACATCATAAAAAAGGGGGGTGGTAGGAGAAGCGAACACTCTTACGTATTCAGAGTTAAATGGCAAGTTTTTCCCTGAATGCTCTGTGTTCCCTTCTCTGAGGCTGTGGGTCCCTATAATTGCACCAGAGGTGGTACCCCCCTATATATATATATATATATATATATATATATATATATATATATATATATATATATATATATATATATATATATATATATATATATATATATATCTGTGCACGAACCTATACACTCAGTGCGTGTATCCATTCACCGATTGGTCCTCTGCTAACTGCTGTCGTCTCCTCTCTGACGATCCTCAGGTAGGCTGGAGAAAGAGTTGTGTATGACTCAGCTGAAGGAAGGGTTATAAGCCACTTCCAGCATCGTGTCTGTGGTTGTCTCTACCACAACGATACTCAGGTAGGCTGTAAGACGGGTTGATCTCCGTAAGCGGACCAGTGAACATTTCATCTTCTGATCCTTTGCCATTTGTGGTCAACGATGACTATTTAAGCCGTAGGATGAGGTTGATTTCCAGAGTCATCAATGCCTGTTGTGGTCTCCTAGGTCAGGCTTGAGTTTCCCTTAGATCTACTGGGTTTCGTGTGATTTATCCCAGGTTTAAGAGACGCTTGTGTTGAGCCTGAGGCGTTGCACGGGTACCTGCAGTGTGACATCTGATGGGTTGAACAGAACCACCGGGTACTATTGGAGGTGCCTCTATCGACGAAATGCATAGCCCTGCGCGAGACATTGTTTATCCTACTCAATGTCGCCCTCTTATCTTATCTTCTTGCTGTGCCTCTTTTCAGGCGTTTATCCAGTTTACATTCTTTTGGCTGAATCTGCGTTTCAAACCCCTGGTATCGTTGTTTCGTTTCCAGGCGCCATGAATTTAACCCGCTTGTTTTGTGTTGAAGTGCGCTTAGAGACGGTTACTGCGTTTTCAAGAAACCAGGTGAGGCAGCTGATTGACCAGTTGATTGACAGTTGAGAGGCGGGACCAAAGAGCCAAAGCTCCACCCCCGCAAGCACAATTAGGTGAGTACACTGACCAGGAAAGTCTCTAGCGCCGTGTCTAAGATGAAAGGCGGTTCAAATCATACCTAATTGGGGACTGTCAGCTCTAACGATCTCAATATATAGACATGACAACAACATCTCTTTCAGCATGCATGACAATTCACAAACAACAAGGCTCCGTTAAAGAACACATAATCTCTAAACACAACCAGATCATCACCAGACATATCCTGACAAACAGCACTGAAATAATCGGCAGAAACATCGACAATAGAAAATTAGACACCGGTGAAGCACTACTGATAATGACTTCTGCGACGGGCTACTTAACCAACTGTTAAACCCTGGTTGGGCTCCAGTTCGGAGGGAGGGAGAGAGTTTTCAGTGGAAAGAGCCAAGCTATTACGACTATATAGCACTGGGGAGAGATCAGGATAAGGATTTGGGATGGGACGAGGGGAAAGGAATGGTGCCCAACTACTTGGATCGTCGGAGATTGAACGTCGACCTGCATGAAGCGAGACCGTCGCTCTGCCGTCCAGAAACGATTCACAAGGAGGTTCTGGAGGATCCAGTTCGGAGCCTCAAGAACCTCCTTGTGAATTCAGTAGAGTTCCTGGTTGGTCGACTTTTTATCCCATCGTGGCTGAGTTGACTTGAAGGAGTCACATTGCACTCATAGAGAAGAGGTGGTAGACAATTGGCATGACAAAGCAGGTGTATGGGAATCACCAGAACGCTGGTTCAAGTCACGTCATTGGTTCAAAATTTTATTTTCATACGTCACATTATATATATATATATATATATATATATATATATATATATATATATATATATATATATATATATATATATATATATATATATATATATATATATATATATATATGTCGTACCTAGTAGCCAGAACTCACTTCTCAGCCTACTATGCAAGGCCCGATTTGCCTAATAAGCCAAGTTTTCATGAATTAAAGGTTTTTCGACTACCTAACCTACCTAAACCTAACCTAACCTAACTTTTTCGGCTACCTAACCGAACCTAACCTATAAAGATAGGTTAGGTTAGGTTAGGTAGGGTTGGTTAGGTTCGGTCATATATCTACGTTAATTTTAACTCCAATAATTTTTTTTACCTCATACATAATGAAATGAGTACCTTTATCATTTCATAAGAAAAAAAATAGAGAAAATATATTATTTCAGGAAAACTTGGCTTATTAAGCAAATCAGGCCTTGCATAGTAGGCTGAGAAGTGCGTTCTGGCTACTAGGTACGACATATATATATATATATATATATATATATATATATATATATATATTATAATGCGTTATGCGTGGTTTCCTCCGAGGCTATGGGTCCCCCTTCTTCCTATATATATATATATATATATATATATATATATATATATATATATATATATATATATATATATATATATATATATATATATATATATATGACGTGGTGTATCTCTTCATTTATCTCTCTGGAATGAACACATCAATAAATGTACATCATTTATGGGTGAATATATACAACGTTTACAATATTCATGGGCTAATTTCATGACTAAAGTACACTTGCTGGTTGGTCAGTAAACTGTTGTGGTGGCCATTAATAACTCTTCGGTGATAGATAGACCTTAGCCCGAACAACGAACCATAAATAAATATTGGTTGCCAGAATGTGGCGCGTCCCATATGTGGGAGGAGGCCGAGGCGCTCCACAACTGACAGATTAGGGCTGATATTACTGGCCACGGTACTGATGGTTGACAGCTCATAGTAACTAAAGTCTACCCCCTTACAGTGTGTCACGCCTGGCGTGCAATGGATGAAAAGTCAATGCATTCACTCTGCGGACTGACGTTCCACCCAAGAGCTCCGGTGGAACGTCAGTCACGCACTTTTGGCTTCACTATCCACCACACAAGGCTCCATGGCACAGCTCACCGTCGCAGGCTTCGCATAGATTCTTCCACCAGCTTTCATGTTTCAAAAATCCAATATGTTTACTTCAGCTGAACTTTAGCATACACCAACCCACCTAACCTATGGACGCCGGTACAGAAAAGCGTAAATTTTCATTGTTTTTCAGTTACATTATAGCATACAATTTGTAGGTTTGTATTCAGGACCTATAAGCATATATCTATTGAGTGCAATGACAGGATAATATACCGCCAACCTTACGCTACCCAGGAGCCAGACTACAATCCTCAGGTATTATTGTGTGTATCATCATGGTACCGGCAAACTGATGCTGTGGAGAGTCCCATTACTGCCAGGCCGCCTGCACTGTGTAGACCAACATCCAGGAACAGTCGCCCACACCTGCTCGTCCCGCAGCTATATACAGATGCAGGCAGATGACAGTATACTACTACTGCTGGCTTTCCTGGACTTCGGGACGGGTTCATCGCTTGAGTAAATGTGTCTTATGAGCATGAACATTGATAAGATCTTCACGCAGACGCCTGGTTTATCTCTCTGTTGCTTCTCGCGTATCCTAGCGTCATTCCCCCGGCGATCACACACTATTCCTCACTGACTCTGCTTCTTTAATCTGATCTTTAGACCCTTTTGATGCCTTCTATTTTTCACATGGCATTTGTTTTGATTGTCTTCTTACTTTTAATTTTTCGCGCCAGAACTTAGCAGTGGAAAGAGTGTTGGGTTTCTATGAGCGCTGACCCCGGAGTCTGTGAGAATAAGGAGGAGTCTGGCCAGCACCGCCCACCTGAAGGTCATCGCAGCACATGTATTCGTTCTATCACTTATCTCTCCGTTAATTAATTTTCCAGAGGTTCGTGGATATGCATGCCTGCTGGTTATTTTCGCATTGTTTCACGAAAACATTTACATTCACTTTATTCAGTTAGTTATTGAATGTATTTGTTATATTCCTGAATCCTTAAGAATCTATGAGTGTATTCAAATGTTATTTTAAAAATCGGGGCGAAAGTTAAAAGAATATTTGGCTGGTTATATCGCAGCCAGCCAACTGATGTACACCATTCTGCTGAGAATATATTACCATAATAAATGACACAAGCGCATTTTTCCCCTTGCTTTTACGATACACAGACTTAGAGGGACAAAATAAAGCCTTAGAAATATCCACGCATCGCTGGGGAGAGTCAAGGCCCCACCTGTGTTCTTGAAGGCGTCTAAGAAACTACCTCTATAACACTTCGCTGTGTCTTGCTCGGGTTTCAAGCCTGCGTCCGGTTTTGCGTCTTGCCCAATCAATACTGTCGCAGCCTGGTGATGGTTAAAGTTATTTTTGTTTTTTGTTCTCGTTTTCTGTTTTGTTGTTGCTACTGCAAGTTTAAGGTGAGCCTTGTGCCTCGCTCTGCGACCAAGCTCCTGGCATGATAATGT